TAACACAGCTTAGGTAACCCAGACTTAGTAGTTAACATTGCTGATAATGTTAAGGTATACCAGGCAGCAATTCAGATGCAGATAACGTGTAAGACTAGACACTTGAAATGTCAAGGCCAACATCAAAGCTTAATAACAACTTAAGTGAAAAGCTGGCAGGATTCAAACACTGTCATTCCTCTTACTCTTCTGATGGTTTATGACCATTGTTTCTTTCCTTGCCACTAGAAGGTGGTTCCCCAAAAAACCTACTGCACACCTGCAGAACATGGAGATAAGTCCACCACTGCTCTAAGGGATGCTGGTATAAGCCTAGTTACCCTTTAAGAAGAGTCCTCAGAACAACTCCCTTGTTCCAAAAAGCAACTGTTTAGTGTTATTATGCTCAAACTTCTGTCAATGTTAAAAGGTTTCATTCTAGTCTCTCTTTAAACTAAAATGGATTCCAGTAGTACCACTCCATTTGAACCTACTAACTGGTAACAAAAATTTGGCAAGAATGGTAGCAATGAAAAAAGCTACGCAGCAATAAAGTAGTAAAAAAATTATAAATTACAGAAATACAGGACAATGAGCTTTAATAATTGTCACAGGATAACAAGTAGGAACAGTATGCTTATCAAGCAAAGGATATACAGAGGCCTATTCAAGAAGTACCTTTATATCAAAGGTTGACCCTGCAGAGAAATGGAAAATAACTTTGAAGTACTTCAGATCTTATCACATTCTCTCTGCACCACCCCCCCAAAATGCCCATAGGGAATTCTGTGAATTGTTTCCCCAGATGCCTTGCACACCAGCTGGTTAGGATTAAACATTTTGCCTGCGGCACCTTTTAGGCCTTCAGGCCTGGCATTTTTGACAATGTGATGAACAGTGTACAATTGTGTATACCCCATATGTTTAAGATAATCTAGAGTGCCAGAAACACTGTTAAATCCATGTACAGCAGGGATAAGGGTTAAAAGAAATCTACAACAGCTATTCTTCAAGGTTGAAAGTTACAGCTCCAGAATTTCATTTCTTTACAACAATATACTTATAAAATACTCAAGACTTAAACGTTGAGATTTTTCTATGCCTCTGATTTTCTGTAATACTAATATATCTAGTACATACCAATCACAAGCCTACTTGCGGAATACTAAGTGCTAGCAAGCACTTCACATCACATAACGAGGATGACCAGAACTTTGCAGTTACAGTGTTTGTACAATGGATGCAGATCCTGACCTCACTGTGAATGACACCATGGAAGTGAAGGGAAGCACCTCCCTTAAAGGAAAAAAAAAACCCACCCCAAAATAACTAAACACACGCTGTTTTCTTTCCACTTGCACCAAAACACACTGTAAGTTGAATTTTCATGGTAGAGTTCTGTCTAGATTTCAAAATGGGCGTGTGGACTAAGCCAACAATTTATTCTGAATTAGTGTTTTTCCAGAACCTGGCTTTAAGCACCTTGTCCAGATGAACAAATTCCTGTTTGAAGCACCTCAGGTTTTTGTTCATCTTTAACATAAAGACCATGTAGGTTCTTTCATTATCTGAAAAAGTACTTTGTACTTGCTAATTAGCGAAGGGCTTCAAGTATCTTGAAAGACAGCAAGTTCTCCTCTGACAAGACATTAGTGTTTCAGCAAAAACACGTGGCAACTTCTGAATTTTGCATAAAAATATAACCCTCAAACTTCAGTTACATGCTAACCTCTCAAAAAGAGAAAAGATCTCCTTGAGTACAATAGCTGTCAGCTACAGTACCTCCAATGCTGTTTAACAGTTGCTATCAGAACACCAACTTGTTTTGCACGTATGCTACTGTTTAAGGTATTAAAGGTTAAATATCCAACTAGTTTCAAGACTGGTCTTCCAAGAGTGTTTCCCATCCTGCAACACATGTTTTTCTAACAAGTACAGAAATCTGTATCATGACAATGTGGTTTCCTACACATTCATACCTACTATCTGGTAATAACACGAGGATGGTAGTTTTCTGTTATCAGTTTTATTATTTGGGGTCCTTCAAAAAAATTTTGCAGGAACATTTTAAGAAACAGGAAAAGGTGTACTTCAGCCTTCTCCATAATCAAAAGTAGTGATTCATCTCAGTGATACAGAAAAGGTATCCTGCCAAAGTGAGTTTACTGTTTGTACACTGAATTATGAGAATTCCTATATACTGTAAGAAAAAGTTTAATAAGAAGATGCCTAAGTTGACTCATATAGTCCTAGAAGAAATAATTCTCCAGCTCTTTACGGCTGGATGCAAAAGCCCTTTCCTAATATCACCCTCAGGCACACAGAGTTAAGCACATTAACTTTTCCCATTTTCTAGGACTGCTGTTTAGAATTTAAAACTGTATTACTGGACCTACCGTACAAGCTTTCTTTTCCAAAAAGCTATCTGAAATTTTTTCTTCCAGTTATAGAAATGAGATGAGGACCTCAAACTTACTTAAACTCAAATGAGGTAGGTAAAACCATTGTGGCTCGATTTGTGAACCATGATTAAGTGCACAAAACCAGATGCATTACTTTTGACACCACAGCGGGTAGTTTATGGATGCACGAGAAGGAAAAGGGTTTTGCTTTCTATGAGAAAATACACAGTCATGGCAGAACATGCAATTATGCAACTCTTGGTGCTATTTTAAGAGCTGATGCCTGCTCCAAACATAGTTTACACTTCTTAAGGATTAGGAAACTTTTGGATGAAGCTTCCATTCAGCTGAATAATAAAGCCAAAAAAAAATATCTTATTGCTTGAAAACTTCCCCCTGCCCAACTCCTTGGAGAAGAAAAAAAAAAACCAACCAACCCACAAACAACCAACAACCTAACTCACTAGGTTCTCTCTCAGTACAATACAAACAATTCCAACAAAGTAAAGAATGTTACTCTTCATTAATCTCTTCTTGTTCTTCTTTATGGGATCTACTTAAAGTGATCAACCAACACACATGAAGAGAAGTTACAGTACGTGAGTTAGCAATCAGGTACATCAAGTAAGAGTGGCTTTTAATGGAAACTCTCCGTTCACCTACTTTTATCCGATACAAGAATAAACTGAGCATCTGCTAACTTTTTACATTTCCCTAGAACAGGAAACATAATGGCGTGAACATAAAGAAAAAAAAAGTAAATCAATTGTCATGCCCTGCTGTCTGGCTAGTGATTACACATAAAATAGAAGTCCTGGTTATTATAAAGTCAATGTAGACAAACTCTAGATTGGAAGTGCGATGTCTTGAAACTAATAAGTGGCCAAGCTAGATTTGAAAATTAATATTTATGAAATCAAGACAACACTTCAGATTAAATATTTTAGTGCAAAACAGCGGTCACTTCTGTGGGTAGAAAGGTAAGTATATACATTCAATATAGGCCAATAACAGACCAGAAGTAACCGATACTCTTAAACATCCTCAGTTCTAACCTCTCTACCCTCACCAACCTAAGCAGCCTTCCCGAGGACACCAGGAGGTTTGGCCAGTGTATTGAGTTAGATACCAAAGCATGTAGAGTGATGACCACTTACAACTTACCAGTATTATTAAATGATATGAATTTATAGTCCTGTAGCAGAAACAGCATGCCTCTGAACAACTCCTTTGATATAAGGCAGATCATATAGGCAATGCCTAGTTTTATCAGTCATCGCATCATTTTCTATCCAGTTTTGCTTTCACAATTTATGAAAAGGGCTGGAAATTAGATTGAACTGAACTGCAATTTAAAAAAAAAAATCTCAGGTTGGGGGCAGGGGTGTCACTCTTGTATAGAGGGCATTGTCTATTATAAATCAATACCTCTGTAGAAAGGAAGCATTGAGTGTACCATGCAGTACCAAAACAATTACTTTGTTAACACGCAGATTCAGTGGAGCCAAGTTTGAGTCTTGTACTAACAATAGTGCCTGGTATCATTAGACAAAGGAATATTTGCGGTCAAGGCAGTATGTTATAAAAATAACACTGCAAACAAACCCAGGGACCTAGAGGTATCCACAATTAGACTGCATTTAACAGTGGAAGGGCCTGTTACTGAAAGCGTGACATCTGAGCATCAACACCTGGCTTAGGTTACCTCTGGCAAAAGTTAAACAAAATGTATCCAGCAACTGTGATCTATTTAGTAAACTAAATAGCCTTTGTAATCTACCACATCTGATAGAATGCTAGATTTTTCTTTTAATAGAAAGTGTGAGATGTATTCCACGAATGACACCTGCTTAGTCATGGCTATTTGACCTATCTATCCAAGTTTTGGCTTTTACAATTATTTCTCTTGCAATTCTCTGACTCTAAATATGGGTCCTTCCCCACACTGGACACTCCTCAGTGGACACAAGGACATTACTGAAAACTAATTTTTATTATAAGGCTACTTCTAGCTTTTCCATCACTTCTAGTTTGTTCATACCTGTTAAGAAATGCAAGAATACAGATACTAGCCCTAACCTTATTGCATAGGAGAGGCAATACTTCTGAAAGCAAGAATCACTTGTTTTGACTTCTCCTTATCTATGCTGCACACACTGAAACAAACACAACATGTAAATTAGTTGCAACACAGATCAGCATTGCAGGATGTTTGAAATTATAGCTCAAAACCAGGGTAGACATACCAAATCTAATCAGCTGTACTGGATATGGAATTTTTAAGATGCCTTCCACTCTGCAGTTTTAAAGAACAAGGGCAATATTGCTCTTGACAGAAAAATTTATTGGAAATAGAAAACAATTCATTTTTCATTTTGTCAGGCATGTATGGCCTACAAAAAGCAAGAGAGCTGCAAGGAGCCAAGACAGTCTTTTGGAAGTTTAAGCCACCTAGCCGTTAGCGCTAATGACACACAAACATTGACATTTTATGTTCAGTGCTCCACTCCTGACACCTCCTGTGGGGAAACTAGTTACTTGCATAATTTGCCAATACCACAAACACAAAATTCACTTCCATTTAAACAAATAGGTTCGATAAGCAATAAACAAACTTACTGCTCTGATTCCTGAGGATCGACGTGTTGCTCTAACATTAGAAACGTTCCTTGAGCTGGCTGGAGTTGCCAACGGAAGAGTAGTAGTAGAAAGTTGAGGAGGACTGAAAGACATCAAAGGCAATCTGGTATCTCCTAATATGCACTGCTTGGAATTGGAATTTTTATTAGCAAACCTCTCATTTGTACCATTTCCTGAATCTCCATTACCAGTCTCAGTTTTCTCCTCATTCTTGATTCTCCTCAAGCAGTCCTTTAGTGTCAGCTGAGTTGCAGGCTGACTCAACCAGCACAAAAAGAGTTCATCCACCTTCATCTTCAGTACAGGTTGCAAAACTTTCCCAGGTGACATTTTCTACCAGTTTCCCTTTGTGTTGGATCAAATTCAAAACACAGGTTTGACAACCATCTATTTATTCCACTTGACTTTCAGTGTTTCACAGACTCCAGGGTTCCTGTTAAGAAAAATACTATTATTTAATCTTACAGTTTTTACAAAGTATTGATATTTATTCCCTCAAGATACCAAGAGGTATTGCAAAATATATGCTAACATGTGACTACAACATTTTGTAAGTGTAAGCCATTAACCAGAGTCAAATCCAGAGGATAATTTCTTTTAAAGGCATACTATATAAATGATGGAGACTGGAGAGAAAGAAACTGCACTCAGATTTCCTCAAAGAGCTCTCTAACAAATGTTCTCCAAGGACATGTGTTAAAAACCCACATTTATTATGATAAATAGCCTTGAAAAGACTTATAATTGAACTTGCTAAGAACCAAATGTCTAAGCAGTTTATGCAAAGCCTTGATGCTAGTATAATTAAGATTTAAGAAGCAAGCCTTTCAGTTAAGGGATTAAGAACTAAGACTGAAGGCTCAATTTTCATTCTGAAGTCTGTGCTTCTCATTTAAAATCTTGCACTGCCTATTGCAGTACAAGATGCATTCCCATATGAGTGATGCCCAGCTGAATTCCCAAAGATCCTTCCTCAGGATTTGATTTGCCTGCCCACTTGGTATCACACAGTCATTTGATACTTTAAGAACTGATCTATTTGACAGTCATGTTTACAGTTGGGGTTTTTTTTAAAGTCAATGCAAAGCCCAACGTGACTCAAGAATTGCAATAGTATAATTTCAGGTTCAGTCGCTCACCTGAAAGAAAGAGTATATTTTTTTAGAGAGCCAGAGGACTGGAGCTAAATACTGAGAACAGAACCCAAGTTACTATCATTAGCTCCACAATCAAATTACTTGGTCATCTGGTACAGTTTAACTAAATCCTGTGCTTCCTCCTGTTTCTTTTTTTTTAAAGTCTTTATCAATATTTGATCCATATGTAGAAGGCAGCAAAGATAGACAAATACTTTGCTGAAGAAGCCTTAAAATAAGCACTTGAATTTGGAAATAAATACCTAGAAAATGAACGTACTATTAAAATCCAAGCTCAGTCTTCATCCCATGGCAGAACCGTAAACTTTATAATACCGCACCAGTTAATTTTTTTAAAAAACCTTTATGTTTAATAACTTCACAGTTACATTCTTCCGTTACTGAAATCGAAGGTCACGTTGCTTCACTCGATTCTCAGACCAACGCTCCTGCAGCGCTCACGGCTGTGGAGCCCGGGCTGGAAGGGCAGCGGGGCCGCCCC